ACACTTCTTGTACTCTTAGTAACAATGTGACAGTACACACACACATACACACACACACACACACACACACACAACCCTTTCACATGTGCCCTTTCATTTGTACTGTATAAATCTTATAATGCAAACATAAATGGGGGGGAGGGAAATATCTAATTCTCTACTTACAACTTGAAAAGTTTAACAGGATTATTCTTTACAATAGGAAAAAATGTAATATTGAAGTGCTTCCCTTTTCAGTCACCTTAACAGGCTGACTGCATTGCATTGTACACAACTAAGATGGTCTGCAGGTGCCTGGAAGCTTGTTAATGCAGTTACCACCTACTACGGTACATGTTACTATGGAGATGAGAAATCTTGTAGGGACGGAGATTTTGCCAGTCATTAGCACAGATGACTGAGTGCAGATTAGTTGGCCATAAGCACAAGCTTCATTGTGTGTTAGACCATGTCTAAAATGTCTGATTTTTACTCTATTTGTACGTTCAAAACAAGTAATTTATTGTAACTGATCTATCACTAAATTAACATTTATAGTTGCACAGTAAATGCCGACTAAAGATTAACAAGCCCTAGTTGCAGACATTAAGTGCCTTTAGCTATCTGTAGCAGTGCAGGAAGTAAGCAGTAAAAAGAACCGTGTTTCTCTAATGGAGTGTTTTAAATTGAGCAATGAAATTGCAATTTTTTCCACACTTACAGAACAGAAATTTGTCTTTGAAACACACAGGCCGCAGCTTTAGCCCCCAGTCTAACCCTTTTATGCCTCCCCTGTAAGAGAAAGCAGCACTAAAGCTGGTCCAATATGGGAGCTGGGGATTCCTTTTGTATAAAGAAATTTGCAATTAGTATATAGCTGTCTCTTTCACACCCATCTTTTTTTAAAAGAAAAAAATCAACACATCTGACTTGCGTATTTTTACTTTGGCCCCAAATCAAGTTTGTCTTGTTAGTTATTTCACCATAACAAAATCCAATCCAAATTCTCCACAGTTTTCACGTTATTTTTATAAAAACTTTTGTTATTAGACAAAAACAAATGTTTGGTCTCACTTCTTTGAAACACTCTTCCCACTTTATCATTCCACCCCTCCCCCGCAAAACTTAAGTGCTAGTGAAGCCTTTTAGTCTCAGTTGTGAACACCAGTTGAAAATGTTTTGAATAGCTAGTGTTCTTGTTTTGTACCTATTGCAGCATCCAGTACTAGATGAGCCCATAGCAGAAGCTGTCTGTATTATTGCCGATACGGATAAATGGAATGTACAGGTGGCTACAAGCCAGAGAAGGATGATGGACAGTATGAAGCTAGGCAAAGATGTCTTAGTCTCCAGTCAAGTGTCCAATTTGCTGCAGTCCATTTTACAGCTTTACAAACTCCACCTCCCAGCTGACTTTGTAAGTATTTCTTTATGAACAACTGTGGCTAATAAGAATGGTTTAGTCATGTGTGCTAAATTTCTTATGCTAGGGCCTTCAGGTATTACCTGCCTGATTTTCAATTACAGTGAAACAATTTAGTAAATATACTAAACATGCACAGTGTAGCCCACCTACAGATACATTACCCATATAAAACTGTATTAAAAGAACATTAAGGTTGCAAAGTCAAGGACTCAGAAGTTAGTAAATGCCAGAATTAAGGTTGCCTGTTCAGCCTTAATTCAGACACCTTGTGTGTATGCATTATACTACAGTCTTGAATTACATGATCACATACTATTTTCCCACAGAACCCCTGCCAACGATGAACATAATGCTGCTAAATTTGTGTCTTAGCAGACTGTCTCTCTTGTCAGTTTTTCTTCTGAGCCACCCACCCATTGTTTAGATCAACAGACTGTGTTTTGTATGGTACAAAACAGAACAGCTCTGAGCTATAGGCAACACAGGTCAATGGTGTGCTCATTGTGGTACGTCAAGATTTGTGACCATATTAAAGCCCACCTATTGGAGTATGTCCATGGTTAGTGGAAAGAACAAACTAAAATCGGCATAGATGCTGCTTAAATGCACCTTTTTAAAAAGAAATCTCACCCAAAACTTTTATATCCCAGTTTGAGTCATATCTTTGATATTGAAAGCTGACTTGTGAATAATTTTTCACTCATTCAATGGTACAAGTCATAAGGAAAATTTGAAAAATTCCACTTCATTTCTCACGCCTCTGTAGGCATGATGAGCCTGAACTCTTCAGCCATCAAGAATGAAGGGGATTTTTCTGGTGTACCCACACATCAAATTAAAAATTTCTAAGTATCTTCTGATTTTTAGCTGGCATTCAGTGAATGGAAGTGTTCTATTTGTAAAGGTTACCATATAAGAGTGTGACGCTGCTGAATCTCCTTTAGAATGGAGTATAACGGAGAGGTAAACACTTCTCTTTACCTACCATCCATATTCTTTACTTTCAGAAAATTCTTAATCCCATATAACATTAATGATATAAGAACTGAGAAGGTAAACTGTGGAAATGCAAATTTCAGGAGATGACAAGAGTTTATGGAATTAATTCCTAGTGTACACCTACTTATATGGATGTCTATCCCTAAGCCAGTCTATTGAGGATGCATAATGCAGTGGCTCTCAACCTTTTCGGACTACTGTACCCCTTTCAGGAGTCTGATTAGTCTCGAGTACCCCCAAGTTATGCCTCACTTAAAAACTACTTGCTTACAAAATCAGATATAAAAATACAAGAGTCACAGCACACGGTCACGGAAAAATGGCTTACTTTCTCATTTTTACTATATAATTATAAAATCGATTGGAATAGATATATTGTACTTACATTTCAGTATAGAGCAGTATAAACAAGACCTCTGCGTATCCCCAAGGGTACCCATACCCCTGGTTGAGAACCACTGCATTAATGGATTCCCTTTGCATTTGAGGGTGCATGGAGAATGTGTTATCCTAGCTCATACCATGTTCTGATCCTCGTCTGTGATGTGGGTATTTAGTGAAAATGTTAAGTCAAGCTGTTGTCAATTCACCTTAGCTAGCACTGTGTCGTGAGATGGTATCTCCTTTTCCTACTACCCAAAGTATTAAACAGTTGGTCCATTATCTGTTCTCAAGTATATAAGAACCATTATGAACTGAAAGAATGATTGTTCAAATATTTATTTATGCTGTTAAAGAACATCAAAATAATGTTATCTTACCTACCAAGCACAGCTCTCTTCTGTCTTACACTTTAATTAGCAGAATTTATTGTACATTAGCATAAAATACAAAAGGAAATTCAAACTTCTAGGACAGTGTTAAGAATTCCATATGCTTTAACAAATGCAGGGTTTTTACTCCTTAAACTTGAGAAATATACTTAATGTGACCTAAAGTTGCATGCTCCTGGTGCGTGTCTAATTGCTGCCTTCTCCTGTCAGATGTACTCTGCAATGTGACTTACTGCATACGCTGCTTGCCTTCATCTCTAGGAGCATGCAGAGCTGAATTAGTTTGATTTTGGTGAACTGGTCTTTGCTGCAGAGAGATGATGTATCAAATTTAATACACATCCTGTGTCCTGTACCAAAATATGCAATAAAGTGTCTTACCAGTTCATATTCTAGCACTAAAAATATTGGGTGTAATTTTGGCCCCCTGGTAGTTTTGCCTCTGACTGCAATAGCACCCGGTATTTCACCTATTCTCTTACATAATTGCTCTCACACTTAACTTCTCTCTCTCAAATCTATAAAAAGCATATGAACTTCTAGTATATTTAGTTAATGGACAATGCGATCTTTAAAAGTCTAATTACTGAAATACCAATTTAACTTCAACTTTTACCATTTGACAACTAGTATTTAGTTATTAAACACCGTTGAACCAATATTAAAACCCTTTAGCACTAGTACTGCAAAACCTCTACAAGGGGTTCATAAATGAGATTTTAAAATAAATTAATGAACAAAAGAACCTGTCACTCCAGCCCACGTCACTGTCTTCATACACTTTATTGCAAATATAAAATAAAATTGAAAGTGCTATTTTTTATAATTCTTAGTTTCTTCAAAACTGGCAATTCTGCAGAGCTATAAAGTTCCGATTTTAGATTCAGCTATTTAAGTTGTATCTTTCAGAAAAACAGTAGTGACTAGTAATAAAGATGGCCTAGTCAAAGTCTTCAAGTTTCAGTTTTAATTAGATGCCTTAAATGTCTTTGGGTCAGATCCAGCTTTTATTTAAGTTAGTGAAAAGACTGTCATTGACTACAGTGGGAGTTGGATATGGCTGGTTGACTGCAACAAAAGTGCTAGCCAGGAAAGATAGCCTGACCCAAATCTCTGAAAAATGATCCGTTTTGCTATGATTGTGTTGGCCACTTACAAAGAGCACTATGCCTATTCTTTTGGGGGTTTTAAGTTACGCTAAACTTACATCATGCCTCCTGGTATAATAGCTAAAATTATGAGTTTACACATTTACAATGATTTCACATGAAAGCTAAATCGATTCTTGAAATTTCTGGTGTGTTTTTTACAGTGCATAATGCATCTTGAGGATAGGCTACAGGAGATGTACCTCAAAAGCAAAATGCTTTCGGAATACCTGCGAGGACATACAAGAGTTCATGTAAAAGAGCTAGGAATTGTATTGGGGTGAGTAAGACTTTAGAGCTGCTATAAACTACTGGCAAGATTGACCAAACTCCCTTGAAGTTCAAATGCTACCCCACTGTTCAGTGAGTAGGCTTGCTTCTCACTACCCTCTAGGCTTGTATGAGAGAGATGCTAAATAAAGTGTGAAAACGTGTGCCACTGAGCTATCTGGAAGTCAAACTGAACTGTTTAAAATTTAGCATCAAGAACCATAGCAGGTCCTTATTTTCTTGAAGAAAAATTAACGTTTTTTTTATGAGCAGTTTGTCGGGCAAACAGAATGGGACTTGGCCTGTTATCAGTCAATCCGATCTTTTTTTCCCCCTTTTGTATCGAAGTTTCAGGGTGGGCAGAAGCAGTGCCTCCAAATGTTGGGGTGTTGGGGTTTGTTTGGGTTTTTTTTGGGGGGGGGGTCAGGAGTATTCATTGTTCTGGATACAAAAGGCAGGTGTGGGGACACGAACGGGTGTTCTCCTTTCAGCAATTATATATAATAGTGTGTTTTACTCACTTTACATGCAGCCTTTACACGTGCACCTGTCTACATCCTGAAGACCAAACACACACACATAGCTGTTCTCAGTGTGCTGGTCAGACTGGCTTGTGTTCTCCGCTCCCCTTTCCTACTGATTTTGTTCTCTACAATAATTTAAAAGCCCATCTTCAGAAATAAGACAGAAATCAGTTCTGATACTAATTAGCTTTAACTGTTAAAAATGCATGCTAGCCTTCTTGCTGTTAATCATGTGTGACATTTTGGGTTTGTTTTTTTTAATCAGTTATGTACAGTAACTCAGTCACTAAGGTGCATGACTTGGTTTTCTTTGAAGTTTTTCTCAGTTGTTCACTTTTCAGCCTTTCTGTACATTCACTGTATTCCTCTTGTCCAACAGCCAAATGAAGAGACTGTGTCCATTTTTTTCTTCTGTCTTTCTCCCTCTGTCAATCCTACATTTATTGATTTTCATTATTTGTATTAATGTAGCACCTCGGAGCCTAATCATAGACAAGGACCCCATTGTGCTGTGTGCTGTACAAACACCGAACAAAAGAGCTTGCAATTTCTCTGGCTATTTCTTAGTGTTTTAATAATAATAATAATATTTAGCTCTTACATAGCACTCTTCATCTGTAGATCTCAAAGCACTTTACAAAGGAGGCCATATCATTATCCTCATTTTACAGATGGGGAAACTGAAGCATAGAGGTTATGGGAATTGTCCAAGGTCACCCACCATGCCAGTGTCAGAACTAGGAATAGAAATCTGGTCTCCTGAGTCCCAGTCCAGTTTTCTAGCCACTAAGTCACACTTCCTTCCTTTTACTCTTTGCTTTCCCTGTTCTTTAACTTTCCCTCCCCACAGCTATATGAGGTGCTCCATTCTGTTTCTCATCAAATCTCATATCCTGATCTGAACGCCATAGCTGACAGGGCCGTGCTTTTTCTACTCCTGCTTTGATTGCAGAGTGGGTATGTGTTCTTGTCAAGCAACTTCAGCTGTAATGCTGTTCAGATCAGGATCTGTTGTCAAAAACATCTACTGAGGCTTTGATGCAATATGCCTTTGGAATGTTAAATTGTTTATTATGGCCATAGTCTCAATTTGTGGAATCTTGAGTTTTGTAGAGCCTGGGTGAATAAATTTTAACTTTTTACCTGGAGTGCTAAGAACATGAACCTCTGTCTCAGGAGGTGCAAAGCTGTTGTGGTGCTGAAACACTGAGCCTGTCTGATTTTGATTATATACAATACTTGTGAAAAACTGACTATTTTCTTCAAACTGGTGTTAGTGTGGTACTAATGCAGTAGAACCTGATTATTTCACACTAATGGCTTGGAAGAAGCTGCAAACTGAATTTTGTGAATTAGTGAAGAATTTAAAAGCAAGCAAAGATAATGCATGACACAAGAACACTGATCTCTTATTTTGTAAAAATCTACAAATGAAAATATACTACTGTACATTTATTGGTATGCTATGACTGGTCAAATAATAATAAAAATAATGAACCCTTAATGATAAGAGACCTCACTTCAGCCTTTTAAATCACCAGTGATATAGGGAGTGACCTCCAATTATTTCTGGTGTGGATTAGGAAGGTGGGAGACGGAGGGGGAAACTTTTGTTTCTTTGTTTCCGGTAAAAGGTGGATAGATAAATATTTAAAAGCCTTCTTCCTTTTCTTAAACTTCTAGGATTGAATCCAATGACTTGCCTTTGTTGGCTGCTATCGCAAGCACTCACTCCCCGTATGTTGCTCAAATACTCTTATAAGTTAAAATCTCAGGATAGTCATTCCCTAAACAAACTACAGGAATCTTGAATGAAGAACAGACGTGCCAAGTACCGGTAAAGGGGAGCAGGTGATGGCAGTGCATTCCAACACCTTTTGATTCAACTTTCAGCTGGACACTTTATCTAAAGACTTCAGTTTACATAATGTAAAAGGCATTCAGGTTGGTTTTTTTTTTTTTACACTCGCTTCTGAAGTTAACGAATCATGAAGGTGAATGCATCCTTGCGGTCTTTTTAAATGACAAAAGTAAACACTACAGCGAACACTGAACTGTTAGCAGAAAACACTGCTAATAAAACCCATGAGGTGGCAGTAAAAAGAACAGGTGGAATAGGATGGTTCTTCTAATACTGCACTTGTGATCGCATGGTGTTTTGTGTGCTTCTTTGGTTGCAGAGCTGGCGCTGTAAACTATGTATGTAGCATTCCTATACAGAGGTGTTTGGATGGACATGAAGTTTTGCAGAACACAAACATCCTTTTGTATTGTAGTAGTGGCCAGCTCAAAACAAGAAACTTTGACTCAGCAGCTGAGTTATGTGGCATGTGTGAGGTTTGTTTCTTTCTTTTTCTTTTTTTTTTTTTAAGGATAAAAGGAAGCTGCAGCTGCTTCTAGTTTTACTGATGAAAAAACAGAATGAGCTCAGATTATAAGTAGTGCCACCCCAACATTAGTATGAAGAAGGCTTTTTGAGAGAGAGGAGGATTTTTTTAGAAAGCCTTATAGAATTTCTACTACAAGTTTACATTGTTGCATTTACAACATTAATAGATTTTTGAGTTTCTGTATGACCTGTAAAACAGGGAATTGGTCCTAAGTCTTAATGGAATCCAATATTGCCATCTAAGATATTTCCGTTTGACAAGCTAACGTACAATATGTTACCAAATGTGTTACACTGTGTGTGTGTGTGTGTGTGTGTGTGTGTGTGTGTGTGTGTGTGTGTGTGTGTGTGTGC